TGGCCTGGCCTGGCCTGGCCTGGCCTGGCCTGGCCTGGCCTGGCCTGGCCTGGCCTGGCCTGGCCTGGCCTGGCCTGGCCTGGCCTGGCCTGGCCTGGCCTGGCCTGGCCTGGCCTGGCCTGGCCTGGCCTGGCCTGGCCTGGCCTGGCCTGGCCTGGCCTGGCCTGGCCTGGCCTGGCCTGGCCTGGCCTGGCCTGGCCTGGCCTGGCCTGGCCTGGCCTGGCCTGGCCTGGCCTGGCCTGGCCTGGCCTGGCCTGGCCTGGCCTGGCCTGGCCTGGCCTGGCCTGGCCTGGCCTGGCCTGGCCTGGCCTGGCCTGGCCTGGCCTGGCCTGGCCTGGCCTGGCCTGGCCTGGCCTGGCCTGGCCTGGCCTGGCCTGGCCTGGCCTGGCCTGGCCTGGCCTGGCCTGGCCTGGCCTGGCCTGGCCTGGCCTGGCCTGGCCTGGCCTGGCCTGGCCTGGCCTGGCCTGGCCTGGCCTGGCCTGGCCTGGCCTGGCCTGGCCTGGCCTGGCCTGGCCTGGCCTGGCCTGGCCTGGCCTGGCCTGGCCTGGCCTGGCCTGGCCTGGCCTGGCCTGGCCTGGCCTGGCCTGGCCTGGCCTGGCCTGGCCTGGCCTGGCCTGGCCTGGCCTGGCCTGGCCTGGCCTGGCCTGGCCTGGCCTGGCCTGGCCTGGCCTGGCCTGGCCTGGCCTGGCCTGGCCTGGCCTGGCCTGGCCTGGCCTGGCCTGGCCTGGCCTGGCCTGGCCTGGCCTGGCCTGGCCTGGCCTGGCCTGGCCTGGCCTGGCCTGGCCTGGCCTGGCCTGGCCTGGCCTGGCCTGGCCTGGCCTGGCCTGGCCTGGCCTGGCCTGGCCTGGCCTGGCCTGGCCTGGCCTGGCCTGGCCTGGCCTGGCCTGGCCTGGCCTGGCCTGGCCTGGCCTGGCCTGGCCTGGCCTGGCCTGGCCTGGCCTGGCCTGGCCTGGCCTGGCCTGGCCTGGCCTGGCCTGGCCTGGCCTGGCCTGGCCTGGCCTGGCCTGGCCTGGCCTGGCCTGGCCTGGCCTGGCCTGGCCTGGCCCTGGCCTGGCCTGGCCTGGCCTGGCCTGGCCTGGCCTGGCCTGGCCTGGCCTGGCCTGGCCTGGCCTGGCCTGGCCTGGCCTGGCCTGGCCTGGCCTGGCCTGGCCTGGCCTGGCCTGGCCTGGCCTGGCCTGGCCTGGCCTGGCCTGGCCTGGCCTGGCCTGGCCTGGCCTGGCCTGGCCTGGCCTGGCCTGGCCTGGCCTGGCCTGGCCTGGCCTGGCCTGGCCTGGCCTGGCCTGGCCTGGCCTGGCCTGGCCTGGCCTGGCCTGGCCTGGCCTGGCCTGGCCTGGCCTGGCCTGGCCTGGCCTGGCCTGGCCTGGCCTGGCCTGGCCTGGCCTGGCCTGGCCTGGCCTGGCCTGGCCTGGCCTGGCCTGGCCTGGCCTGGCCTGGCCTGGCCTGGCCTGGCCTGGCCTGGCCTGGCCTGGCCTGGCCTGGCCTGGCCTGGCCTGGCCTGGCCTGGCCTGGCCTGGCCTGGCCTGGCCTGGCCTGGCCTGGCCTGGCCTGGCCTGGCCTGGCCTGGCCTGGCCTGGCCTGGCCTGGCCTGGCCTGGCCTGGCCTGGCCTGGCCTGGCCTGGCCTGGCCTGGCCTGGCCTGGCCTGGCCTGGCCTGGCCTGGCCTGGCCTGGCCTGGCCTGGCCTGGCCTGGCCTGGCCTGGCCTGGCCTGGCCTGGCCTGGCCTGGCCTGGCCTGGCCTGGCCTGGCCTGGCCTGGCCTGGCCTGGCCTGGCCTGGCCTGGCCTGGCCTGGCCTGGCCTGGCCTGGCCTGGCCTGGCCTGGCCTGGCCTGGCCTGGCCTGGCCTGGCCTGGCCTGGCCTGGCCTGGCCTGGCCTGGCCTGGCCTGGCCTGGCCTGGCCTGGCCTGGCCTGGCCTGGCCTGGCCTGGCCTGGCCTGGCCTGGCCTGGCCTGGCGCCTGGCCTGGCCTGGCCCTGGCCTGGCCTGGCCCTGGCCTGGCCTGGCCTGGCCTGGCCTGGCCTGGCCTGGCCTGGCCTGGCCTGGCCTGGCCTGGCCTGGCCCTGGATTCAGATGTGACACCGGATTCAGATCTGACACCGGATTCAGATCTGACACCGGATTCAGATCTGACACCGGATTCAGATCTGACACCGGGTTCAGATGTGACACTAATTAAGATGTGACACCGGATTCAGATGTGACACCGGATTCAGATGTGACACCGGATTCAGATCTGACACCTGATTCAGATGTGACACTAATTCAGATCTGACACTAATTAAGATCTGACACCGGATTCAGATCTGACACCGGATTCAGATCTGACACCGGATTCAGATCTGACACCGGATTCAGATCTGACACTAATTCAGATCTGACACCGGATTCAGAACTGATACAAACTCAGATCTGGGCAGGACTTTATTATATAGCCCGCGCCGTATATTTAGGTATTTAGGTATTTAGTGTATATTTAAGTTGGGGGTGATGACTAGTATACGGATATAAAATTTTATGAGACTGTGYGAAGCAGTTCATATAGTATAGTGTAGAGCATTATTATACATAAATGTATATATATATTTAATTTTTTAAATTTTGACTTCAGATTTAGATTAAGCATAAAAAATAAGGTATAGGGGATCAGCATTAAAATTTTGATATCTCTTCAGGAACATAGAGAAAATGGCGGCCAAGTAAACATTTTTAAGTAAACATTTTTTAAGTATAGATTTAAATAAATAACCACAAAAGGAATAATGAATCATTAAAATGTAAATGTAATATGAAATTTTAAAATAATTTGAAAAATAAAATATTTTTTATTATGATTACTTTAGGTTAGGTTAGTTTAGGTTAGGTTAGGTTAATGGCGGCCGGTAGGCCGCTAGTTATTTCAGATTATGTTAGGTTAGTTTAAGTTAAGTTAGGTTAGGTTAGGTTAGGTTAGATGAGATTAGGTTAGTGGCGGCCGGTAGGTCGGTAGTTATGTCAGATTATCTTCTATTGCTAAGTTAACTTTAATATTATACTGTATATTATTATAAGTAAATATATCAGTCATACACTTACACTCACACAAGACATTAAACACTGTCCCCTATTGTAACACTTATGGACTGTCGGTACGGGTCGGGAGTCTGTCAAACATTATGAATGTCCAGTGACTTAGATTTAACAGATATAACAGTTATGATATGACAGGTAATATACTGTACGGACGCATACATTAAAAAACTGTTTACAAACAAAACAGTTACTAATTTTGTAGTCAAACTTGATTTTAATACTTTTTAATTAAATTCACAACAAGTTATTACAACTATTTTTTGAAATATTCAATAACTATAAAAGTATTTATTACTCATTAATTATCAAKGTCATCTAATAAATTGCGTATACTTAATTTTGACTATTTTTAAAATTATAATTATATTTATTTATATAAATAACATTTCATTTTATTTGATTGTTTAAATGATAATTATTTATATTTAATATTAATTAATTATTATAATAAATTCTAATAACTTTTATTTTTATAAACTTTAACTATTATTATGATTTATAAAAAATATAATTTGATTTACTTGATTTATTTTATATATTTAAATTTAATATGTTGTCAAGGTAATTTATAATTAATAGTATTATATTAATTTACTCTAATTTTTTAATTTGTTTTATATATTTACTAATAAAAATATTATTATATTTACTTAAATAATATATATTTTTTGTTTGTTACAGACATTTACCGAAAAAATGATAATTTGAATCAACAAATTGTGGCAAAAGTTGAAAGGATTGATCCAAAAGACTTTGGTTTTCAAAGACAATCCAAACGAACTGACTTTAATGTCAACACCGGAACAAATGCTAACAGAGATGAAAGCTTTCGTCAGCCGCCGGACACTGAATGGACGGCACGGGCGCCGCGTATATCTAATTCGTGGCGTAGAAGACAACAACAATTTTCAGATGGATTTACTAGTTATGGCCGAACAAACACAACATCACGGGTTCATAGGAATGACATTTTGAATATACCGGATGACTGGTCAGTAAGTGCATTGCAAACACAATTAGTCGATACAAACCGTACGTCAAGACAACCCTTTATGTTTGGTCGTACACCAGACAAGTCAGTCAATTGTTCTCAACTATGTCTATCACAAAGATATCTTCAGCACTATTATACAAAACAATGTAAACCAATATATGATGACCGATGCGGATGTCCTAAAACTTTTGACTGCAATTATGACAATTTGCCTCAAAATCAATCGGGTATTCATTATTATTGATTTATTATTAATTAAAATAAAAACTAAATAATAAATAATAAAATTATATTTATTATTAATGTAAAGTATGTCACTTTGAGGGTCGTATTTACCGAATTGGTTCAACAATTGTAACCCAAAATCCGTGTCGTATATGTGATTGTCGTCAAAGTGGCCATTCATTGGCCAGAATTGACTGCAGTATTGCCATTGAATGTCCGGAATCGGCGTTTGGCTTAAAACCCGAACCTAATTGCTATTTTGCTTACCGACGGGACAAATGTTGCGGTGAAATGGTTTGTCCTAAATTAGGTCAACCGAAAAGAGATATCAAAGTTTGTCGATACAAATCTAAAGACTATCGTTTAGGAGAAAAGATATATCCAGAGGAAGACATGTGTATGACATGTATTTGTACTGACGATTGGCTGGAAAACAATCCACTGAAGAGTAAACACTGTTACCGACAGACTTGTGATCTCCAGTTGAACTCACAATTCACTTCCGGTTGTCTACCTGTTTATCACGAGAGCACGTGCTGTCCAATTGATTATATATGTGGTCAGTATATCAGTATTTTTCAGTGATTTTTTAAATATAAAATATTTTAATTATAAAAAAAACTACATTTTAGACAAACAAAACAAACAAACAGATAGACTAACAAAAGTGTCAAATCTAACGGTCTGTTTGTTTAATGGCAACAAATATCCGATTGGCCACAGACTACAAACAGATAATCCGTGTGTTGAATGCCAGTGCTCTGTACCGCCAGATATGACATGTATACACAAGAGCTGTCCGACCCCGCAGTCAAACAATTGTTATGTCGGTGTATGGGATCATCATATTTGTTGCCAAAAATATAATTGCAATTAATTATTCAAATATTTTTTATTATTATTATTTCTAATGTTTGATTAGTATTATTACATAATAATAATTAATTAATTATTGTTTTATTAAAGTATTGATACTTAATGTTTAGCTTATTACATTAATTTTATATAATTATATATTTTACTTAAAACTAATGTCTTGTCATAAATATATTCATAAATATATTTTTTATATAATTAATGGCAATTTTGTTTTTTACTATTTTAGTAATTTAAAAATTTATTTTTTAATATATGATACAATTATAATATAATTATTGTTATCAAATATTATAATTTATATGCTTTTTTATATCTTTGTTTTTTATTTGTTTGATACCACAAATCCGCATATCTAGAGTATATATAAAATAATTTATTTAAAATTTAATTGTTATTATAATTAGTGTAACACTTTTTTGTAATAAATTATAATATGATTATTTTTGTATACAATATTTAACTACTATATTATTAAATGTTATCAATATTATATTATTTTATTTTTGTTACAATTATTATTATAGTTTAAATAGACTTTAATTCTCTAATAAAAATGATTATAATTTTATTAAATTTTAATTCTCATATTATATAATAGTATTTTCTTAATTTTTAAATATTAACAATTTATCTATTATATAACATTTATGTAGGGAATGTATTAAAATAATTGATGCTTTATGAATTATATAATCTAAAATAATACAGATAACTCTCTATAATATGAACGCTCTATACTATGAAAAAGCTCTATAATATGAACAAATATTTAATACCAATGACATTACAGTACTTTATAATGTATTACATATTCTATAATATGAAACTCTCTATATTCTATATTATGAACAAAAACTGTAATTCAAATAATAATAATAAGTTTTCTATAATATGAAAATTGTAAAAATATACTGTAAAACTGTAACAATTATTATAGACTGAGACTGCAATCAATGTACAATTAATAGCAATCATTGATAGTCTAAATAAACGTGTTTTTATAATAATTATTGTCAATACAGTATATTGTATTCAAAATTATTGAGTGAAAGTTATTTGTGTCTGCAAAATGGCTAAATCAAGAAAAGATTTAACATTTGGCAATAAAAGTAAACTAATTATTGATTACAAAAATGGGTTAAATCAACGACAACTACAGGAAAAATACAAAATAAGTATCGGTGCCGTCAACAACATCATCAAAAATACTGATTATATTTTAAGTCAAACAAACAAACATAAGAAACGGATCAGACGTACGCCAAATGATAAATTAAATGAATTGGTGCTAAAGTTTGTACAATTGTCTAACGCAAATAAAGTGCCAATTGATGGACCAATTATTAAAGTGTTTGCATCAGATATAGCAATAAGACTTAACTTAAATCAATTTAAAGCATCAGATGGATGGCTATCAAAATTTACAAAAAGACATGAAATTAAGTATCAATCATATAGTGGCGAATCTGCAGATATAAATGATAAAACTGTTGAACAATGGATAGAAAATCTAAAAGATTTACTAAAGGATTACAATATTGAAGACATTTTCAATTTCGATGAAACGGGACTTTTCTATAAATTATTACCAAAAAAGTCGTATCTTTTAAAAGGAGTTAATAAATTTGGTAAAAAAAAATTCAAGCAAAGAGTGACATTAGGTTTGTGTTGTTCATCTGTTGGTGAAAAATTAAAGCCAGTCATCATTGGTACCGCTCGTAAACCTCGATGTTTTAATAATATGAAAACCAGTATCAATTCATTAGGAATACATTATTATAATAATTCAAGTGCATGGATGACACAAACTATATTTATTGATTGGTTGCAAACAATTAATAAACATTTTAAGCAAAATAATCGCAAAATATTGCTATTTGTTGATAACTGTTCGGCACATAAAATACCAGATGATTTGAATTTTTCAAATATTAAGATTCAATATTTTCCGGCTAACACTACATCACGTCTTCAACCACTGGATCAGGGAATCATCAGATCATTCAAAGCTAAATATCGAAGTTATTTAATAAGACATTTGACTAATAATATGCATGATTTATACCAATCAACTGTTAATAACAATAATATTGAATTTGGTACTGAATTGAAAAACATGATTAAAAGTATTGATTTAAGATCATGTATTGAGTGGACATTGATTGCATGGACTGATGTAAAATGTGATACAATTATTAATTGTTATAAACATTCAGGATTTGAAATTCAGACCAACAGTGACACTATTGTCGAAGAAGTGGTCGCCGATTCATTTGAAACATTTCAGTCATGTATTGGCGAAAATCTTATGACATTTGAAGAGATTGATAATTTTGAAGACTCTTTACAATTGCATAGTAATGACTTTAAAAACGATTTGCTTGAAGAAGCTATTAATGATAATATCGACAATAATGATACCGATATTGAAATTATGACATCAAATGAGTTGCCATTAAATGATTTTGTTATCAATAATAATAGTCTTACAGTTAATGATGGCTTAGAAATGGTGACAAAACTTGAGACATTAATTATCTCAGAATTACCTGAAGTATTGATACATTTAAATAAAATTAAACATTCATTAATTGATTTAAAGCTTAAGAAACAAAGTCTCAAACAAACATCAATTACTGATTACTTTAAGTGAATTAAACTTAATTAATATACTCTTTATTTTGTAATATTTTTCATTAAATTTAAAATAAAAGATTTTTATTAATTCCAATTCTATAATATGAAAAATTTTAATATAAATATTATTTTCATAATACAGAACTTTTTCTTTAATATGAAACTTTCTATATTGTGAAATAATTTTTATTCCCAAACTATGTTCATATTATAGAGAGTTATCTGTATTAGTATAATGCTATTGCTATGTTAATACAGTCCCTAAAATAATATTATTAATAATAACAACAATACAGTATACTATAGTTTATTATTAAATGTATTGAATTTCAAGTTAAATGTTAATTATTTATACAATTTTTTAATCACATAATTAGTTCACAAAATAGTAGTCATTGTTATCACAAAATAATAACAATATATAGATATAATAGACACACAATCTTATTGATTAATGGCCAATACAACTGATCCAGAGGTGATAGTCATCGACGATATGATGAATATTAATAATGATAACAATAACAGATCATTGATGTCGACAAAGGGTAAGACAACAATCAATGATTATTATAATTGTATGAATCTATCGGTGATTATAAAGAGTGTTACAAATATTGTTTCAGATATTGTCAAAAGTTCGGTACAAATGCTTAACGAAATGTTTGCCAATCCATTGCCACAATATGTAGAGGAGGGCCGTACGGGTCCGCAACACGACCCAGTCTTTCATATGGCTGTCCACGTAAGCGGACTGACATTTCGCGGACAAAGCCGAACCAAACAGAAGGCCCGACACGAAGCAGCCAAACAAGCACTCGACTATTTTGACAGCAATCGGCCACAACTCAAGTATCGGTCGCGCAATCGATATGAACCGTATTATCGGCGGACATCATATGACAATACATCTCAACAACAACAGCAACATTCTTCATACCACAACTACAACTACAACAACTACAGTGACTTTGACACAAACTTTATGCCATATAATCTTAATCATCATAATAGTGGTAGCAATTTGGTTGTCAGCGGTCAGCAGGTGTCCAGTAATAGTAATAATAATAATAATAATAGGAAGAAGAAGAAAGTGGACGACTTTACGAGCGATGATTATTTGATCGACGATTTGATTGAATTTAACGATAATTGTGAGCAAAAATCATCACAAGAAGTATTGTTATTGTCATCGACCGCTGACACCAACACCACTAACATGACTACCAGTGATGAAGGGATGGCCGTCACAAACAAAAAAGAGAGAATCATTTTGCGAGTAATGAATCAGTCAGACAACCAACCGGTTAACTCAAATGCCGTCTCATTGATCCACGAACTGCAACCAAATGCTCAATGGGTTTGTACTGAACTCAAGACTGCAAACAAATTGCAATCACTTTCATATGAAATGAGATTGTTGTTACCGCTGGCCAACGAGTGTTTTGTTGGTACGGCCAGAACTAAAAAACTGGCCAAATGTGAGGCCGCCACCAAAGCACTACTTCAGTTGTATAACATTACTGTTAATCCACAATCGGGACAAAAATCCGATGGTTTAATACATTTGAATAATACTATTACTATTGCTGAAGAACCGCTTGTTCTGAAACAAGCCATTGCCGACAGAATTGGTCGACAAGTAATGGAAACGTGTCATCAAGTTTGGCAACAATTGACAGATCTGAAGAAATGGACAGTTCTTTCGGCTATTGTATTGACTGATGAAACTGATGCCGATTTTTTGGATATCATTTGTATGACAAGTGGTACCAAATGTGTTAAAGGAGACAACCTATCAATGAATGGTTACGCACTCAACGACTGTCACGCAGAAGTGTTGGCCAGACGTGCTTTTCTTCATTATTTATATTCACAAATTGAAAAACTTATTGATAATAGTTATGAAGGTTTGGTGTTGTTTTTGTTACACATATTTAAAAAAAAATTTAATTATATTTCTAATCATTTATTATTATTTTTTTTGTTAATCTCTTTCTGATTGTAGATAAACCAGATTTTATAGTCGAGAGACGTCCGGATGGATACGGTTTTCGTATTAAAAAACACATAAAAGTAAATCTATTCATAAGTACGGCGCCGTGCGGTGACTCCCGAGTGTTTAGTCCTAAAGAAGAAGTATTGAGAGTTTTGCATTTATTTTTTAATTAAGTTATAATTCATAAAATTTTTTTTTTTAATTACTGATAATTAGGAAAGTGATGCACATCCTAATAGGCAAACGAGAGGATTATTAAGAGCCAAAATTGAAGGCGGAGAGGGAACCATACCTGTTAAAAGAGATGGTATCCTAACATGGGATGGCATACTTCAGGGTCAACAACGACTACAATTCATGTCCTGTTCCGATAAGATTGCCGTCTGGAATGTTGTCGGCATTCAGGTTAGACATTGATAATACTGTACTAAAATGTATATATAAGGAAATAAATAATTACCGATTAATTATTAAGACATAAAAAAATTATTTTAAACTATAGGGTGCATTGTTAAGCCATTTAATTGAACCCATTTATATCGAGTCTATAGTAGTGGCCTCACTCTTCAATTACGATCATTTAGTTCGGGCCATCCATTCGAGACTTAATCTAAATTTTGACTCAAATTCATTAAAGGATTTGCCGACAAATTTTATGATAAATAAGTCTAAAGTCGCTAAATGTCAGCTTAAAGAAGATATCACACGTCAGGTACTAATTATTATCAATGATTTTTTTGTTGCAACAATTTTTATAATATTAATATATTTTATTTATATTTAGTTGACTAAAGCACCTAATTATGCATTAAATTGGATTAAAGGCGATGTAAAGCCTGAAGTGGTGTCCACCGAAAGCGGACGAATTCATGTCGAGAATATTATCTCACGTTTAGCCAAACGGTCATTGTTTGGAAGATTTTGTGCACTATTAGGTCGCAACACAACACCGTTACCTAACTGTCCATTGGGTAACAGCATTCCTCTGGTATATAGAGACGGCAAAACAGCATCACTTGACTATCAAAGAGCCAAAACACAGTGTATGCAAGCATTTCAAGAACAAAATCTGGGCCAATGGATCCAAGTGCCCACTGAAATAGATCTCTTTAGGTTATAGTATTTATGTATTAGTTGATAAAACAATCAAATTTTATTTATTGGTTCATCAATTATTTAGCATATAATCTATTGGTTAATATATATTTTGTATTTTTCATATCGTTATACCATAAAAAATCATCATTAATTCATGTTTTTTAATACAGTTTTATATATCACATATAGATTGTAGAAATTAATATTGTATATGAAATTAAGAATCATTCATCACAGTATATTAAATATAACAAATAATAAATTAATTTTATTTAACCATTTAATTATTTAATTATACAATTTAATTACATTTTTTTTGTTAATTATTTGATAAATAGATTTAAAAAAAAGATTTAGTTAAACACTAATAATGACTTTGTCTTAAATAGGAATAGTTTTGTCGACAAAAACACAATATTACGGCTGCAATGAATCCAAACGATAGTATAGGTATTAGTAGAAGAAATGTCAATATATGCCATAAATTGAATGTATGTGTCGAACATTTATGCGGATAACTAATATAATATTGACAATCATTTTTGAATTGTGGTATTAAAATATAGGGTAAATTAGGTATGATTTGTGTTTCATTTGAATTACATTTACTATTGGCTGCACTCATCCAACACTGTGTTAATGACAACAGTCCACAGCATCGAATATAATGCGGAAGCGCACCCATAGTATCAGTTTGATGATCGGCCATCACCCGATGGCCAGTCTCATTGGCCGCACTATTACAGTCACCGAACTCGACACTCATTTTTGATAAACACTCCATTAGTAATGTATAGTCAGTTAAGTGATTGACTTTTATATTAGTTATATCTGGCATTTCATTTACTAATAAATCAAATGATGATTTATTTGTTACAAAATTTTTCTCACTAATTGATAAACCGACTGTTTGTTCAATAATTGTATCAATTATTAACAACATTTTTATCAAATTTATTGAATAATTTAATTTGTTAATTATATTATTAAACATATTTAGCAAAAAAATAAGATAATTCAATTGATTTATTTTATTTTTTAGGTATATTGACAATAATAACAATTTAGTATACAATTTGTACTTAAGGAGGAAAAATGTCAACTTTATTTCAAATACAATACTGTAGTGTTAAACCAATTGAGGAAATATTGTCAAAATTAATTATTTACTTATTTTATTTGTCATTGAAATTTAATTATTCAAAATCATTATATTATCTCTTATTTAATGACAACAAAGTCATACCAATTAAACTAAAATATTAATGTTATTATTGTTTCGCTAATTATATATAAATATATTATTATTACTTTAATTGCTTTCTTGTAAAAAATCTAAAAATATTCTGTGATGTAAACACAATAAAGTATTTTTAATTAAAATAAATATATATATTAATAGCACAAATAATTTAAATTAATTTTTTATTTTAATTTAGTCATATTTTTACAATATAAATATATTTACAAAAGTGAAGTGTTTTATTAAAATATATCACAGTTTTAAATGAGAATAATTTATATATATATATATATATATATATATCAATTTATATATTTAATAATTAAGATATTTGGCTTATATTTTTCTTTGATAACTATTGCTATATTAGATTATACAATATTATTATTATTATTATTATTATTTTCAATTAATTATCAATTAATTATCAATTATTATTATTATTATGCATTAAATAGGAAGACGACAAGTCTTTCTAAGTTTGTTTTCTTAATAATAATGTAAAATAAATACATTTTAAAAAAACAATTTTCATAATTGCTATCTCTATATTAGTGACTATTATCTGATTGCATTTTTTATTTATTTAAATTATCAATTAAACAATTAATTCATGTGCTAATAATAATAACAATGTTTTTTTGTGGACCACTTTTACCAATTAATTTAACAATAATTGTTTCAACTATTTAACAACAACAACAAAATGGCGAATCTCTCCAAACTATAATAGATATAAAATCATTTCAATTGATTTGATTGCCATTTGATTTTATTGTTAAATTTTTAAATTTTAATTATTATTATTGTTATATTTAATCTATTAATTAATAAATTAATTAAAAATATGTATTATTAAACTGTAGACTCAAACTTAGGACTTCCGCCGATTATGTTAACCCTTTGAACGGGTGTTTGTGTTTTATTGAACTCTAATTTGGCGTATTCTACACATTGTTGTTGTAATTGTTGGGAACCGCTCTTCGAGAGTGTCATTCCTCCTGTTATTGGTGTCTGTTGTCCGCTCTGTTGTATCATTGGTTGGCCACAGAAGGCTAGCTCTGCGTAATGGATAACACCATCACTTGTAGGCACGTATTGAATGCTGTCTTCATTTTGATAACCTTTTTAAGTTAAATAAGTAAAACAATTATTTTTTGGCAAAATATTGGAGACCAGTATTATTACCTGTTGTTATGTAACCAAATGATGGTATGATATCTGGCGGACCTTTAGTTGTATTACAATTGCTAAACATTTGTGGCTCTGATTGTTGCAAATGTTGTTGATTTGAAGTTGTGGTCGACGTTAACAGCATTTGATCGCAACAGTCGTCACCATAACARGGCTGACAATCATCATCTTCCTCGAAGATGGTGTTTACAGTAGTCCTATCTTGTAGTCTACTATTAGGTTGTGTGCTCTCATTAGTGATCACATTAGCGGAACTGCTTCTCCTGACTCTAACCACAGCAATAATGCCCAATGATATGACAATAACTGTGACGACAGCGGCGCCAATCAGTAGAGCCATTAGCATAGGTTTAGTTTTAAATGTTTGGCCCGTATTTAACAACTCGTTGTTGTTGTTGTTTGTATTGCTGTCGGCGTCGACCAGTCTCTCGGCCGGCCGTAATGTTTGAGCCCTTAACCAGATTTGATCACTTTTTCCCTTTGAATTAATGGCAAACAATTTTAATTGGAAACTAGTGGCTGGAGTCAGATTTGGCACAAATAACTGAAATGTTGTTGTTGTGGTTGTGGTGGTCGGTGGTGTACCACCAGTTCCAACTGTGCTACCAGTACTCCATATTGTGCTATCTGTGTTACCGGAATCTAAGTATTATTATTAATAAAAACAAATACAAAACATATCGTTTAATTATAATAAATTTTTATGAATATGTTTTTATCTTAAAGAATATATTATATATTCAGTACCTGAAAGTATTGAATTTGTTGTTAGACTCGCTGGCAGTGAAACATTGGCCACTAAATGTTGATTACCGGGTGTATAGACTTCGCACATATAGTATGTGGTGGGATAGACTAAAACAGTTGGGGACAAACTGTTTTGGGAATTTGCATATTGTTTATTATGATTATTATTATTATTATTTATCATTATTTGATTGAAATTAGGATCTCCTGCGACATCCACTTCATTTGATGTCAAATTGTTGGCTAATTGCGATGACGACTGTTCATTACCAGTGCATAGTATAACCAATGCATTATCACTTTGGTTGACCACTTGACACATAAATGGAAATTTAGGCGGACCTATGGATACATACATATACAGTATATGATAGAAAAATGCATATAAACATTATATGATTTGTATAGACACAAACCGGCATCAATTATATGATATTTGCACCCTCTTTGCTGTAATCCTATTGAATTTTTTGCTGTACATTCAACCGTACCGTAGTCTTGTAGTGATGTCGGAGAATAGCTTAATATTGAGCTAACAAATTGATTATTATTAGTATTATTAGTAAATAATAATTGACTTTAAAAAATTTTAAAGTGAAAAACCTGGTTTCGTTGAATTGCTTGAAACTCGTGAGTTCAATGTTACCATCAAATGTCCATTGAAATGATACTTGCGATGGATTGGCCTCAACACCACATATTAGATCCACACTTTCCATTAGTGATACACCATATGCTAGACTATAATAAAAATATTTTTTGATTATATATATTTTTTAATCAACACATTTTATGTTAGTTATAATCATAATGTTATTTATATTATATTAGTAGAAATAATTCAAATAATTACTAAATTTATAGGTTTTAACTAAAATTATTTTTTAATTAAAATAATTATTTTTAAATGAAACAATCAAACTAAAGCCATATTAATCTTTATATTTAGTGATTATTGTATAATATATATAACAATGATTTCAATTAATTAGTAATTTAACAAATTAAATTTATTAAGTTTAATGTGATAATAATTTCTAGTTTTTTTAAATTATCCTTTAGGTTACTATACTATTTTTTAAAAAATAAATAAATTTTATTATCAATTGACTCGGAAAATGTCTAAAAAAATGTTGGTAACAAAATTGTTATCAATTTTACCAAAACCTATACTTTGTTAAAATATATTGATTTTATTGCATCTTATAAATGGGTTGTTAAGTACTACATCCCATAGCATAAATACAACTGTCCATAAGCTATTATAGTACTTAATGTCTAATCACGCATATAATTTGATACAAATATAGCATTATATTTATATACCAACAAAATTATTGACATTTAGTTGACATTTGGGTCGTTTAAAGTTAGTTTTTTTACATACATTGATTACTCTCTATAAACTTCAACAAATAATCAGAATAATATTTGAATAATATTATCACATCATAAAAGTAAACAATTTTTCTAAATAAAGAATATTCCTTAAATCAATAAATTTTTAAAAATATTTTGTTGCTGTTGTTGTTAGTAATGAAATATTATTATTTGTAATTAAAATTTACATTAATTAGAAAATAATATTAATATATATATATATAGTATTATAATTTAGTTACATACATGAAATGTGTGATACAAACGGGTGCATATTTGATCTTAAGGTGTATAGCATTGCTTAATGCTATTCCCTGTTGATTACTGGCCTCACACTGATAGGTCCCACTTTGACTACGAGTCACTCGCTGTAATACCAACGATACATTGCTTTGAATTATACCTTATAAATTAAATTAACAGTTTATCATTAATATAGTATATAAAACTAATAATAACACCATGATCAAATCAAATCAAATCAAAATTAATGGATAAAATTAAGACACAAAATATAAACCTTGTTGTGGATGTAAGATATTGCCGTTAAAGCGCCACAAAATGGGCGCATTTGGTCGCGGATTGGCGTCTATATGACAATCAAAATATATATCGTTTCCCTCTTGTAATGACTGCAATGATATGGTCGGTGTTCCCAATTGTAATGATAATTGAGGAATATCTGATATACATATATATATATACATAAATTAATTATTAATACCAATTAAATCAAAAATTCAATAAATTTTAGTTTTTATACATGAGATTGTCATTTTTTGCATAACAAAACATAACTCTCACACAAAAAAACACTGTCTAATTGCATTTAATACTAATAATATTATATTTAATTTAAATATTTTAAAAATTGATTAACTATTAATTTATTTATGAATAACTAATCAAAGTATATGTAGTAACAGTACAGTATTATATCTGTAGCTATATATACAGTATATATAAATTATGTAAATAAATAGATTATAATTTAGCTATTTATAAATAATATATATATATAAATTTATATGTATTTATAAGGCTTACAGTGGACATCTAGTTTAAGTTCATCGGATATAATAGATGATTGAATTTTGCTATTTTCGGCAACACATGTTAATATGGCATCATTGTGTGCGTGTTTTAATGTTATAGTCAATGTTGTCGATGTTTGATGTTCACCTGTAATAATAGTTGTAATGTTTGATTCAAAATTGTCAAAATAACATGTTTTAAATAATATATATTTTTAAAGAAAATACTGTATTAAATACCATTGAGTGGTGTATTATGTCTGGAGCCGTCAAAAATCCAATAGAGAGTGGCTTTAGGTCGGGAACCATATGTATTGCATTCAAATGTTGCCTCTCTATCGGACACTAGGATTGGTGTCAATTGACTTATCCGTACATCAGTTGGTTTTACTATTTAAAAAAAATTATAAAAATCAAAATCAATATTATTAATACTAAATTTATTTAACAATTAATTCGCAAAAAAAAATTATTTAGCTAAAAAATCAACATAAAAATCAATCGTGATGATTTACTTCAACTTTAATTATATATAAAATAGATATAAACTATATAACATTAGATATTATATTTAACTTTGATAACTATAGTTATTTAATTGAACTGTTTTGATAATACTAATAATAATTGTTTAATAATAATTTGGATAACACTTACAATTGAGATCTAATGTGATGGATGTGGATGATGGCACAGTTATATTATTATTGATGGCCTGACACGTAAAGATTGACAGCAAATGATGTCTGGCTAATGATGTTATTGTTAACTGATTTGTTGTCACTTTTTTATTTAAAAAAAATCACCAATAAAATAGATATATATTATAAAGCAATTATGAAATTTATATAGATTACCATCTTTTTCATTGTATTCAAATGTGTCGTCAATTATTGAATAGTCTCTCCACCAGCTCAGTGATGGACGAGGTTTGCCTACAAAAAAAAACAAATTTAAAACAACAATATAAGTGTTAATTATTTAAATTTTTGCTAATAATTTAATAAACTATTTGTAGGCCTGACCTCCACTTGTGCTACAAATCAGTCTGAGTTCATCGCCTTCATTGTAGGGTCCAATCAAACCGCTTAACTCATTATTATCCATATCCACTATAATTGGTTCCTCTGGCGGCACTTTAGTAGTTGTTTAAAGTAAATAATGAATTTGTTAATAATAATAATAATAAGTTTGTCGTCAATCAAGTAAATCAATTACAAGTCACACACACACACACACACACACACACACACACACACACACACACACACACACACACACACACACACACACACACACACACACACATACCGATCACTTTTAATGATATGACAGTATTGACAGTCCGGGCTTTCCTAAAGTCTACACGACATCGATAGTCGCCCGCATCGGTCACACGTATTGGATCAATCTGTAGGAATGCCGGCCTATTGTGTAGATTGAAATATGCCCGACCTGTACAACAACAACATTATATAACATTAGAAATTTTCATATTTATATTTATATCAATACAGTCCAATAGTTTAATAGACATACCATCCAATATATTGTTTGTTAATGTACGGGCCTGTTCTAAGTTACCTAATATTATTATTTTATAATTATATAGAGTTAAATATTAATCAATTTAAACAATTAATAATTATACAAAAGTAATATAATAAATCAATTTTTAATGATATTAATGATTAATAAAAATTTGTCCATTTTTTACCTCTTCTGGCATCCAATGTATAAATTGGCGCTAACTGTGAATATATTAATAAATATATATTTATAATAATTATAACATATATTTGTATACATTTTAATAATTATTTTAGTATAAATACAATTACATATTTATAATTAATTATATAAAAAGATACCTGTTCATCTTTATACCATAGTATAAGTACCACCTGATCATCTAATGTTGGGGGAGTTATATCACATGGAAGTGCAACCTATCATTTAAAAAAATAATAAATATGTATTTAATTTTACATAATATAACAATTTTTATTTATGTATGATAATTGATTAATTGTTAAATTTATGTTAAATTTAACAATTAATGCAACAAATTATGTATTTATAATATACATACCTTTCCTTTTACTACAGCTGTATATAATATTGAAGCTATAATAGAATAAATCAAATAATTTTAGTAAAATATAGTTAAAATAAATATATTTATAATTAAAAAAATAAATGTTTAATTATATTTTAAATATATATTTTAAATATGGTTTTTATTATAATAAATATATATTATAATAATAATAAAATGTTGTTTACAAAAATATAACTATATTTGTTGATATAATAACAGATTTGATTACATAATAATTAAATGTAAAATTTATATGTATTAATAGTTGAGAATAATTTAAAATGATTCCAAAAATTTTATACAAATAAGAAAAATTGAATGAATGCAAAATTGTTTTGTAAAAACAGTAAAAATATATATATATAAGTCTTATTAAAGTAGCAAATGATTGTTGAAAAGATATATATATATATATATATATATATATAATATATAATATAGGTTTAAGGGATAGTCTAGTAGTAAGTTATGGGAGGCGTGCTATTAATGATCGCAATTTGAAATTTAAATTGTCTGCAAATCTTTGTTGCATTTGTCATCGATTTCCAGTTTACTGTTACTATTAGTTTACTGTTAGGCCCATAGATTCACATTGATTTCTATATGTGAGCTTAGGTTAGCTTAGCCTACAATCACTGATATTCACTGATATTGCCAGTCATAAGCACTTCACTTATATATACACTGTATATTATATTATACAGTATATCACTATTGGCACTAACTATTGGCAATACACTGATATTTTTTAACTCAATTTTTGCTATTAATTGTCAATCTATGTCATCTACTAAAGTTGTTTTGAATTTATAAATAATAATTATATTATCAATACTTAATATTTTAGTTAATTACTGTAATGTATTTGAAAGAACAGTGTTATGAAAACAAATTTTATGATATTTTTAACTAATTTATATAACTTATTTAACTGAAAATTAGATATTATAAATGTAACTATATAATACATATAAAAAACATTTATTGAAATATTAGTAATATTCTAATATAATGATGTAAATTATTAAGTTTATACTTATAATTAATTAAAAATTAATATTCTGTTATTTTAAATTATTATTATTAATTTATATACACTGTATAATACAGTGTTGTATACAATGTAACAATTCTAAAAAATATCTATATATACAGTATATATATACTAGCAATTGATTTACAACAAGATAAATACTAAACTTTAAAAAATATTGTTAAATCAATATTTATTGACGTATTCAGTGAATCAGTCTATTATAGGTGTATATCATATACTTTACTATAATATAAGTTGAATGCACGCACACACCTGTCTCTGTCTATTTGGCCGATCTATACTATACTATAATATTCTACAATACATTTCAATATACATTACTTTAATAGCAAATATATATTGTATAATATATATTACATATAGTACTCAACTCATTCACTCTTAATAACAATTTTATCATTAAATTAAGTTTACATAGTAATTTATATATTATAGTCAAACGTAATTATTACTAAAAAACAGTAATTTTATCATAACTTAATGCTATATATCTAAATATTAGTAAAAAAATATTAATACAATTATAGTTAGTTTATCAAAAAAATGTACAGTGTATACATTATACATTTATTATTATACTGTATTTGAATTAAAATACTAGTTAACAGCAAATTAAATTTTAATTTATTTTTAATAATCTGTATAAAAATATATAAAATAAATATTTAAATATTAAATTAAATGGAAAATTTTAAATTAAAATACCAATGATTGTTTTTTAGTACTATCTCTATAGTACTTAATAAATCAATAAATCAATTGTAATAATTTAGATAATATTATTCTCATTGGAATTTAGCATTATTTTTAAATTGTCTAATTAATAATATTAAACTTAAAACTTAATTCTTGAGTAATATATTTATATATATATAAATTAATAATTAATAGCAAAATATTTTGTATTAAATATTACAAAATAATCAATAAATTGATTGCTTAACTACGAGAACCATCCCTTATTACAGTACTTTAACACATAGTGTTTATTTGATTTATTTTGCCACTGAATTATTGGAGCATCAATTGCTGATATACATTATATTTTGTCTGTATATAAATTTGTATTTATTTACTATATAAAGTGCATGTATGTATATGTATGTATGTGTGTGTATGTGTTTAGTACTGTCAATAGTGTCTACTGATATAATGTTATATTGTATTTGTGACACTTTCCTTATTTATTGTGTAATGTATGGACATATGAATTGTATAGATGACTAAGTTTTCAGGCATTTTGTATTGTAGTAGTAGTACAGTATCGCATGTTTAACAGCGATTCAAATGCGATAACTATTTGTTCAAAATACGGTCTTATAATTTATATATATATATATATATATATGATCAATATATGATTACCTTGCTTATACACGTTTTACACGATTCATACATTATACAAAAACATTATGCATTATATTATAACTAAAAAATGTTCACAATGTAAATGACTTTTTTTTCTTAACACAAAAAAAAGTTTTTATTTTATATTTATAAATTATATATGGATAGATATTATAGTATACAGAAAGTATATTTGATGTCACACATTTATATCAATACAATTGATGTTATATTTTTTTAAAACATCCGTTTAAATTGTTAAAATAAAATACGATAGATAAGAGATAAAGTTAGTACTGTATTTGTTTTTTAAAAATATAGTTAATACAAATTTAATGTTTTTTTACACCAACAACACAACAACAACAAAACACATTGCAATAATGTTATTGTTGGTAAATGATTGGTAAAAATACAAAATAAGTTTAGATAACAATTGAAAGTTGTCAATCAATTGTGACAATTTTGGTTTACCCATTTGTAGGGGGGGCGGAAGAGGGGCTAATGACAAAACTATAATATTTCAACTTAAATTTTATTAGATTTACTTTATTTCACCAAATCGTTTATTAGTTAGATGGCTAAATCATCTAAATTTACAAACAATCGATTGTTTTGTTTTGTTTTGTTTTTATAGTGTAACTATACTTTAATTTACAGCTATATTTTAAAAATATATATATTTATTAAATACTGAAATAAGATTTGATAAAGAAATTTGAATATTTTATCAATTAATACAAAAAATATAATTTTGTTAAATATTTTAAACAAATTTAAGTTATGATGCAAATATGTAAAGTAATTAACAATAATAGTTAGTCTTAAAAACAAATTCAATATTATTGATAATCATAAATGATTATTTAAAAAATTGAATAATTAAAACTAAAAGTGATTCTATCTATAAATTATGCATTGATAATAACAATATACTATACTATAATTTATATAAACATGTATATATATATTATATATATATATGTTTGTTATATCGGTAGTATATTATGTAATGTACAGTACATATAAACTATATAACATGTTATACTATAATATATATATTGTATTTATAAATATTAAGTTTTATATATATTAAATGGTAATATCGTTATACTGTATGTGTGGTGTATATAAGTAGCGATGAATTCATATGCAGTGATTGGCCAAAAGGCATTACATTTAATACTAAGTTAACTGAGAGTCTTATATAATATATTATCTTATCTACAAATACTGTATAGCAATGCAAATGTGAATGAATGACATTAAATAATCAAAATAGTTTTGTTTGCTCTAAGCATTATTACTACAGTATATACACAGTGTGTATACTAAATATATATATTTTTACATTTAAATAATTTTTATATACTGTATTGTATAAATTATTTATATCTATATATACAATATATATATATAAAAAATAAAATTACTTAAACTAAACATTGTATGATAGTATATGTATATATTTTTTTAAACAATTTACTTAATAATTCTAGCATTTTTATTACTTTTTTATATTAATTAAAAAATATTTTACTCTGTATTTACTCGGTACTCAGAAATAATATAATATTATAAAATTGAGATAACTTGAGATATTATATATAATAGTAGTACTATAGTAGGTTTCAGTAATTATTTCATGGTATTTGCAGATTTGACAAATTGAATACTAATAATAATATTCATTAATAGTGATACCAACACAACAAAAATGCATTCATATATTACTATATTTGCTAACATATAAACAAAGTGTGACCACACTTTTCAATGGGTAAGAGAGAGGAAGAGAGAGAGAGAGAGAGAGAATGAGCATCAATTGACGGTATAGTTAGTCGTTATGTGTGTGTTGTTGGGTAAGGAGTAATCAATAACTATATAACGATATAACGATGTAATGTAATAATGGTTTAGTTGAGTATTTTGTGTGTGAAATGAAAGTCACAAACAAATGCAATTCAATTGCATTCAATATTCTTATACAATAATAAAGCAATTGTGAAACTGTAGCGACTTATCCAACATTCAAGAACTGGTATATATTGTATATCTCTATATCTCTCTCTATACTGAGCACCGGTATTAACTGTTTCACTAAATTTTTTTGTATTATTATATGGCTTGTAATTGTGTGCACAAGCGATTCAATTAATTATTACAATAGCATGTGTTAAATAAGAAAATTTTTTAGTTTAACTTAAATTTTGTTGTTTGGTTCAACAAATTACTTGAATGTATTGACTATTATTATATATTATATAAAAAAGCTTGACTTATATATATATATATTATATGATAATATATATATGAAAAAATATCATCACTAAACTTATGTACAAATAAATTATAAAAATTCCTTTCTTTATGTAAATAAAGCATTAAAAATGTTGAACTCACTCAAGCATTGTATAAATCAACGGTTTAAGTGGGGATTACATTACATTACATCTAAGATTATATTATAATTTATATTATAGTTTGGCATTTATTTTTTGCTAAAGCCTATAAACAGTAAAAAATAGATATATAATAAAAAAATAATATGCACCAACAATCTATTGGATATATTGTATAGTATACATAATACTGTACCTGCAATGTGTTTCATATATTTTA